TAAAATTCTGACCATCAGGATGATGGTGATCTTTGCTTCTGCTTTACAATCCTTTTCTCCATGGGTCATCCCCCAGAGCTGACTTGGTCCTGGCGCAGGCTAGGCAGAGACAAGCATGAGAATTCCTGGAAGCATGGCACTCCACGAAGCATGCTATTAATAAACACATTGAACTCGACCCCATATACATTCCACTACGAAGGAAAACCGGAAGTGAGGCAATCCATCTCAACGGACCCCAGAGTTTAAAAACCAGGCAGGAAAACACACCGACGCTTCATCGGAGGCTACCAAGCATGGTAATGAAACGTCTGCAAAACGACAAACCAGCTCGGCGAGCCAACCAACCTAAACATCCACAACCCAAGCTACAGATCTACTGCAAAACCTTAGTGACTTGGTTCCACTCCAGATCAGTGTGTTCTGAGAGAACTGATCAATTCGATACATGATCTGCAGACTCTGCCACGTAGGAAACAGGTGGTGCATGAAGGGCCAGGATAAAAAAATTGTTTGTGCACTTTCTCTGACACGCACCTTCACCTCTGCAGGAGCCCAATGAAGTCTCATGATGTGCTTAGTGCCGTGTTTCAATTGGTCACAAGGCAAGGTCTCCTGTGATCAGTAGGGATGTTGGACCTCTACAGGGATGCTTTGTAATATTCCTAAATTGTTTCTGTTGTTATCTGGGGAGATCCTGTCTTGACCAAATTCCAAATAGAGTTGTTTCTTGTGTCAGGCATATGAGGTACCTGCTCTGCCAAGTGGTGCTGGTTTTAAGTGATTTGCACCTTGATGTTGTACAAGTTGGTCTGCAGGTGTGGACTACTAATGGACCACAATTTTTTCCGCTTGATTTCAAAGACCTTGCAGAGGTGTACCACAGGTGGTACTTCTCCAGGGTTTTGAGGTGCTTGATTTAGGTTGTCCACATCTTCAAAGCATAAAAGAGCGTGGGATCACTGCTGCTCAGTAAACCATGTCTTAATCATGGTTTTGAACTATGATTCTCTTTATCCACAGTTGGCTGAAGGCTGAGATGTCACAATTGTCAGAATTTTGTTAGCTATGTCCGTCTTCAACAAGAAGAGCGCTCAGGCTATGGAAGATGACTCCTATTTTTCTCAATTGATTTGTTATTTCAATTAAATCTGTTGATTTAATTTTGTTACTGTGTTGTGGGAGCTGATTGGAAATCAGTTTCCAGGTGTTTAGTGTGAAGCACATTTTCTCAAACAATTTTTCATTCACTTTTATAATGTACAATGTAAATGACAAAATATATTTTCTTTAAACTTTATCTTTGTGCACCAGTACTTTACTACCAACTCTCTGACAGACATTGCAATGTGAAAATATAGAATTTTGAAAATTTCATTTAGTTTTGAATGCAAATGAAATAGAACTGTATGTATTCTGCTTAACCATTCTTAGATGCCAGTTCGAGTCACAGATCCCTATGAAACTGTGTATGTTAGAATTTTGTATGATGTGTATTATTTAGTCTTCCCTTTTTCTGTGTAGGGTGTGCTGACTTACATTTATTGGACATGCTAACTCCTTCAGAGCGGAAGCGACAAGGTTATATCCATGAGCTGATTGTCACAGAAGAAAATTATGTTAGTGACCTGCAGCTAGTCACTGAGGTAAGATGAAGTTGTCTTGCGAGCATGATGAATCTCTTCATTTTTGAGCTGTGCTAAAAGCTCAGTAAATCCTAAATTCAATCGCCCAACTTGTGTTATGTTTACTGGAGTTACCTGGGGCAGCAGTTTGATTCACTGCCCCCTGAATAAAAAGGGAATGGGCAAAAGATTAGTCAGAGTTCCTTCTTATGTCAGCTCCCCAGTTATGCCTCCAATTTACTCTGCTTTTGTCTCCACAGATGCTGCCAGACCTTTCTCTTTGTTTTTATTTCTGACCACCGGCATCCAAAGTACTTTCTTTATAAATAAATGTATTGGTTTGAATACCTGCTGAGGACTGGGATTTTAAAAATTTATACTTAGGTTGCTAAGGATACATTTATAGCCCAGCCTAATTTGGGCTGAGAAGATGGTGGTGGTCCTACTTAATAACAATTATCTGTGGTTGTTGACTTGCTGGCCGAGCTACCTTGTTTTTGTTCAGACATTTTGTCACCATGCTAGGTGATGATCAACTGATGATGTCACCTAGCATGGTGACGAAACATCTGAACAAAAACAAGCCAGCTCGGCGAGCAAGTCAACAAACTCATCCACAACCCAAGCTACAGATCTTCGCCAAAACTTTGAACAATCATCTATAATAACTGAATGGCTAGCTTGGCAATGAGGCATTACGAGTTGCCCCTTTTGTAAACATATCACAATCACCTATTGCTCACACCAAGATGGAGCACCAGCTCCTCTTCCCTACCTAGTGTCAGAGAAACGTGGAGTTTCTAAGACAATCCTGCAACTATTTTTGGTACTAAATCTCAAATTATTTATTCAATTTATTGGCGAAAATCACATTTGAGATTTCAAGGTTACTGATTCAATGTTGAAACTGTTACAGGATTTCTGATGGTTCTATGTTCATATTGAAGTTTGGAGACCAGAACTAAGCACTGTTGTATAAAACTGAAACCTGACCAAGGTCCTATGCAAATCTAATGTCCTATAGTTTCTCTACTTTTGAAATCTATATGCCTAGAAATAAATTGTGGAGCTTTATAAGCATTATTAATTAATTTACTAACCTAGAGTGCTGCTTTTAATGCTTTGTTTTCCTATGTCCCAAGAGATTCTGTTTTATTTTAATTTTCTGAAGTTAGGTGATGTTTTTGTTTGTACCAAAATGCATCGCCTCACAATTACCGATGTTAAGGCTCATTGACCGTTTAACTGTTTTGATTGTAATTTTTACAGTGTCAACTTCTAATATGTTACATTCTTCCTCAGTGTGATCTATAAAGCCCAGTTTAGTATCATTTGCAAGCTTTGATATTGTGTTACCTGTTGACATTCATGTAAATCATATTTGTTGAAAAAAGCACCACCTTCCTAAATGTATAATGATCTTTGTAAAATTTTCTCAATCTGCAACCAATAAGCAAAGTCGTTACTTTAGTCTGTTCGCCCATAGGATGAACTTGTACTTAGAGACTTCTGTATGATTTTGTTGTGTGTCTTTATGTATCATGAAAGTTTTATTTGCTCTTAAGTTTATTTTTTGTTGCTAATGATCTGCCTTGTTTCATTAGGTCTTTCAGAAACCTTTGCTCGAGTCTGATTTGCTGACAGAGAAAGAAGTGGCCATGATTTTTGTGAACTGGAAAGAGCTCATCATGTGTAATATTAAATTGTTGAAGTAGGTACATGCACTGACTGTCATTTGATAATCCCTGTGCTTTACTAGCTCCTTCGCTGCCATCTTTACAGTCCCCTTGATATGGGTATGCAAAATGGGAATTAAGGGGCCATCTCCTTTTAAAGCTGCTTTTAATGAATAATTATTCTGCAAAGAGGCTTTTAGGGTTAAGTAATCATAATATGATAGAATTTTAAATTGTTTGAAAGTGGTGTGTTTGTGTCTGAAACTGGCATCTTAAATATAAAGAAAGGAAACTGTGAAGGTATGACAAGCAAGTTGGCTGTAGTAGATTGGGAAACTATATTAAAATGTATGACTAGATGGGTAATGGCTAGCTTTGAAAACATCAATTTGTGCTTTACAACAAACATACATTTCTTTGAGGTATAAAAACACAATAGGCAATGTTGTCTAATGGTAGCTATCAAGATGAATTAAAGAAATGAAAACAGAAAATGCTGGAGCCACTCAGCAGACCTGGAAGTAAACATAGGAGAGAAAAACCAAGTTAATGTTTGAGTTCACTATCAGACTTCAAACATTAACTTTGTTAACGTGCCCAGTTCTAGCACAAACCCTGAGATGTTGGTCAGGAGGACTTTGCAGGGTCGACAGGGCTGAGTTTCCAGTGCCTTAGAGGGGCCACCTGGCACCAACTGGTTTTATTCCTTTTTTTTTTGAGACTTTTTAAGAGGTTGATACAACTGAACAGCTTGCTTAGCCATTTCAGAGGGCAGTTAAAAATCAAACACATTGTTGGTCTGGAGTTACATATAGGCCAGAGGAGGTACGGACAGATGGGTTTTCACAACCATCTACGTGGTTTCAGTCATCCAGCACAGAAGAGACCCTTCTGCCTAGCATTACACTTTTATTTTTTAGAATTTTACCTGGGTCTGAATCATTAGTCCAGCGACAATACCACTATGCAATTGCCTCCCCGACTTAAGTCACTAACTTATCCTTCAGCCCAATATATAATTGTATGATTTTACAAGTTTCACAACATTTACTGAGTTTATCATAATCAGTGCAAGAGAATGGTACTCAATAAAGCATTGGATCGAGTTGATTCACAACAAAATACTAGATTATTTCTGGCTGACAATGCATGTCTCTTGTTTTGTTCTGTTCACTGAAGCTATTCTCTGCCATTGGTCTTCACACTGCACAGTGAGCTACCAAGAGTCATTGTTTATTAACCCTTGCTAGCCACCACCCACTGTGCACAATCAGAGGCATTTTGAACTCTGGTTTGCTTACATAGGAGTAATGTGATCAATTTTAGAATTGCTAGGTAGTGTGTGCCCAATTCCTGATTACTCTCAGTAAAAGTAGCAGTTGTCTTACAGATGTCACTTCCTACTTCCTTGCAAAAGATGTTTTACAACTCAGCACAATTTAACAACGTATTTCCTCATTTGCTTAATTGCTGTGCGTCTAATACTTGGTGAAAAATGACTCAGTTCTACACAGTGCTTGGGTTGTAGCTTCTGACAATCTCCATCAATGATTCTTAATATGGGTACCAAATTTAATATGTTCAAGTTTGCTGATGACACCAATGGGAATGAGAGTTGTGGGGAGGTTGCGAAGAAGCTTTAAGAGGATTTAGATAGGTTGAGGGGAGAGAATGTAGCAGATGGAATATCATGTGAAAAAATGCAAACTTACATATTTTGGCAGGAAAAACTAAAGTACTTTCAGATGAATAGATTTCTAGATATTACAGACATTGAGGGATATGATGGTGAGGCAGAAAATCAACTGTGACCTACTTGAATGGCAGAAAGGTTCAAATGAAAATGGCTTTTTCCTGAAAACGATTACTGATATGACACGGGTACTGAACCAAGCCAGCCTTTCTACCTCTATATCTGCAACACAGTAAAATTAAGACTGTCAAAGACCCTCAAAATTAACCCCAGAGGTTGCTGACCAGACTTTTGAATAGCCAATAAAAACCGAAAGAACGGATGCTGTAAATCAGGAACAAAAACAAGGTTTCTGGAAAAGTTCAGCAGGTCTGGCAGCATCTGTGAAGCAAAAAACAGAGTTAACGTTTCGGGTCCAGTGACCCTTTCTCAGAACCATTCTGAAGAAGGGTCCGGACCCAAAACATCAGCTTTCCTGCTCCTCTGATGCTGTTTGGCCCGCTGTGTTCATCCAGCTCCACGCCTTTTTATCTCAGATTCTCCAGCATCGGCAGTTCCCACTATCTCTCAGTCTTTGTTTTCAGCCCCATTCATGCAAAAGACAGATAAACAAGTACCATTGAGGGATAAATAAAAGGAAATGACAAAAGTGGCTGGATTACTCAAAGTTATTTTCATGATGTATTGTTCCACAGGTAAAGGTGATGGTTTCTTTGTTGATTTTCTGAAGTTGTTGATCAGGGTCACCTTTACAGTTCACTCAGATAAAGGAGGTAATACTTACTATGTAGTTACCTGTTCTCTGAGCTTCCAACAGCTGCTCACGGGAGGTGAGGCCAGGGCGCCTTCAAATCTTCATACTATTTCATCAATGGTCAGATTCTTTTTCCCAGAAAACACAGTCCAAAACCAATTCAAACTCTGACCACTCCCTGACAGACTGACTGTCTCCTCCATGAGGTCCCAGTTACTATTCAACATCTGCCATCTGCTGGAATCAGTTCCCAGGTACAGAACTAGCTAATGGCCAACTTCTGCTGTCTGTTTCAATATAACTTTCTTCTCCAGTGATGAAACGTCTACAGAACCTTTTGATCAGGAGCCAACCTGCAATTAACTTCCAGGTCTAGCGTCATGAATAATAAAAGCTGTGTTTGGTCTGTTTTAGTCTTAACACAAGCTGTTGCCCACAGTCCAAAAGTCAGCTTTAGCTCATAGCTCCAAACCAAAATCGATAAAAGTATAAAATAATAATTTGAAAAATCAGCAGGGGATCTAACAACACCAAGAATTATCTCACACGCATTTCTTAGTATTTATATTTAATTCAAATTGAAATGCTTGGACTTTGAAATTGGAAAGGTCCATATTGAATTCACTGATCATGTTGAGTCAGGTTCATTTGGCAGTTTTAAAGTTTAATAACAATTATTTGATGTGAATGAGTATCACCACTCACCACTACTATGGACAATGATACAAATAGATTCTCTCTAAGTGGATAATATTTTTATCCAGAAAACTGAATTACAGTTAAAAGACAATTTAAACCTACTTTATTTATAAAAATTGAATTAAATTATGAATGTTACATTGGTCTGCACAGTTAGCATCTATGCTAATTTACACGTGTTTATGCTTTGCTGCAGGGCATTACGGGTAAGGAAGAAGATGTCAGGGGAGAGGATGCCTGTGAAAATGATTGGTGACATATTAACAGCACAACTGCCTCACATGCAGCCATATATCCGGTTCTGCAGCTGTCAGCTTAATGGAGCAGCACTGATCCAGCAAAAAACAGATGAAGTTTCAGAATTCAAGGAATCTGTCAAAGTAAGAGATATTGTATTACCATTGCACAACAAAAATGATCTCCTAGTTTGCTTTTAAGTGAACTTGAGATTTTGGTCAAATAGTAATTCTGCAAAGCTTTTGAACTGTCAGCTTATTTCAGTATGTAGCACCCTCATCTCTGATTCAGAATATTGTGGGTTTTAATGTTCACCGTGGACTTGGAATGCAATTTAGTGCAGTCCTAAGGAATTGTTGCATAGCCTTCTGATAGGACCCTAGCTGTTTCCAGCTCTGGTAGATATGAGAGATCCTCTGGTGTAGTGATAATATCACAGACTTGTAATCCAAAGACCCAGGGGACACAGGTTCAAATCCTGCCATGGCAGCTGATGAAATTTGATCTCAATTTGTAAAAAGCTGGAATATAAAGCTAGTTGCAGTAATGAAAACCATGAAACTATCGTTGATTACTCTAGGAACACATCCTGTTGACGCACGTCCTTTCCGGAAGGAAATCTGCCATCCTTACCTAGTCTGGCCTTCACATCGCTCTAGACCCACAGTGATGTGATTAACTATTCATACCTTCTGAAATGATCTTGAGTTCTTTGAGGGCAAAAAGAAAGCTTGATCTTGCCATCAACTCTCACATTCTATGAAAGAGTAAAGAAAATCAAAACTTCAGCATGCCACAGAGTTTTCCTGTTGTTCTGACTAAATTTCCTCTCTCTCTGTCAAAAAAAGGATTATCTACTTATTGATTAATTTGTTTTTTAATGTATGCAATTTCTGTCATGCTTACCTAAAAAGCGGAGACTACAATGAAGAAAACAATTGTATTTATATTCCACCTTTCAACCTCAGGATATCCCAGAGTACATTAGAGCCACTGAAATAATTTTTGAAGTGTAATACTGTTGTAATGAGGAAATGTTTTATTTTGGTAATTGTAAATCAATTTAGGATGTCCCAAGGATCTGGTAAGATGCTGTATAATGTACTATGAGGTTTTTCAACACGTGTTATTGTTGACACTTGGCTTATTTATATTATGACAGAGATTAGCAATGGACCCACAATGTAAAGGAATGCCACTATCAAGTTTCCTACTGAAGCCTATGCAAAGGGTAACACGCTACCCATTAATAATAAAAAATGTAAGTGTATGTTTTTGTGTATACATATGTCGTCCAATTAAAATTGTTACATAACTTGTTGCAACACAGACATGCTTCCTGTCCACCCTTTACAGTGGTACTTGCCAAATAAAACATGCACACACGGGCAGGCACACACAGACGCTCTTTTGTTACTGACTACTGTCTTTACAATAAACTAAAATATAAAGCAATTTCTTTAAATTGCTGCTGGGAGAAAGGTGGGGTTGCCAACTCATTTCTTTCCGATTATAATGTAAAAATTCGAGGACAGGTCAACCTATATATTTGTGTGTCTTCCCCAGTCCTCAGTGGATTTTTCTGCCCTCTTTAGTTTCCTTTGGAAAAGCTTCTTCAACATCCAAAGCAATATTTTTGAGGCTTTCTGCCTCCTGCCAAAAAGACTATTTGTATAAAAATGTGCTGTTAGTAACTCGGGTTCAGAAACTGTCTCATCAGTTAGTGTTTAAATATCAACATTCTGTAACCTCTTCAAAAGTAATAAAGTAGATTTTTTGAAATGGGATTTGAAGACACTTTTAGAGCCTTAGCTCACATGAATTCATTTTTTCAAATACATATCCTAGATTCTGGAAAACACCCCAGAAAATCATCCCGATTTTAGCCACCTGAAGCAGGCTCTTGAAAAGGCTGAGGAGCTGTGTTCTCAGGTGAACGAAGGTGTGCGAGAGAAAGAAAATTCTGACAGGCTGGAGTGGATCCAGACACATGTACAATGTGAAGGTTTGTCTGAGGTAAGTTTGGAAAGGAGCCAAAGTGTGTCATATCACTGAATGACTGAATCTTTGCAATCCTATGATCATAACAATAGTAAATGTGGTGTTCAATTCTTTTGATCAAAAGCCAAGGTCAATAGTTCATGTGTTGAAGCTGTAAATAGTATATTATGCCTGACAAACATGACTGTGCGTCTTTTGAAGAAGTGACTGAAGGAGTGGACAGGCAAATGTTGGTGAGTGTTAATTTCATGGACTTTTGGAAGATATTTGATAATGTTCCTCAAAAGAGTCCGCTAGCTAAAAGTTGAACCTGTTAGAATTGAAGACAATTTAACATAGTTAAAAATTGAGCAGTAGATAATGGAAACTAGGAATAATGGGAGCTGCCCTTGAGTGACAACTGGCTTCCCACATTCATCCATGTTAGAGCCCCAACTGTTCACTGTATCAACTATTCACCATAATTCTGAAGGACCTAGCTCATGGCGTAGAAAGTCACATATCCATGATTACTGATGGTACAAAGACATGCATGATCGTAAACAATGTAGATTAAAGCATAAAAGTAGGAGATAAATAGATTAACTGAATGTCCAAAATGATTGTAAATGGATTTCAATGGAGGTAGCTATGAGGCAATCCCCTTTGGACCTGAAAAGGGAAGAACAGAATACTTTCTAAATTAAAAGTGATAAAGAGACTAGGAAGCCCAGCGACTCCGTTTACTAAGATGTTATGGACAGCGACAAAAAAGTCAAAATGCCTAATGGAATGCTGACCTTTATACCTAGGAGATTAGAATAAAAAGGGATCAAGAGTTTTGCTGCTGCAATAAAAAGCCCTTGTTGGACCACGCCTGGAGGACTGTGTTTACTTGTGGGCACCAAATATTAGGAAGCAAAATCACAATAATTTGAATGGCAGATCCACCAACGTATCTGTAGATTTGCAAAGCTTCAAGATTACTGAAAAGGCCCCTATGCAACCTCATTTTGCCCATGAACCTGTTGTACATCAGAACAAAATGAAAACACAGTGATGCAGTAAATATGTGAAAAATGTCTTCATTTGTTAATTTGTTCACACCTTCCAATTTCCTTGCCTTGTACAGTCAAAGGCATGGAAAATGTCAGGGTTTAGCTCTGGAAAAGCTCAATCTTTCTCTGCTTACTGTGCTGTCTGTCAGGTGTGATACAGTCTGCCATGTTGTCCATACAGTTGAACATCTTTTGTGTATTCTTGTGCTGCAGTGTGAAATCACGGAACATCACTGTAGGCTTTGCAGCTTCAGTTAGGGAATCAGGTAGGTGAGTGTATTTTAGGGTCATTGGCCTCTTCAGTTGAAGAACATGCACATCTATGACTGCCTCGTCAGTAAGTTAGTTTCTACAGCAAATGGTGTTGTCTACCTCGGTGTAACCTTCCATGGTAGCCTCTGCTGGAATTTCCATGCCAGCCTCCCACAGCCCAGCCCATTGACTTGGGTTGGCCTTATGCTGCTTCTCCTTGTTCTGATGTCTTGCACTGTCGTAGCCTGTTTGAACTCAACCTGTTGGGAATAATTGGTGATGATAGCATCTATCACATTTTCCAAGCCTTTTTTACCCAGAGTGTAGACTCTAGAATGGTTAGATTGTATTTCTTCTTCATATCAAGAATTCGATAACAAACTGATTTTAGGTTCCCAATCGCCACCTAAATCTATTGGCTGCAGCTTAGCCATGGGTTGGGAGATGAGGATGTCAACTTGATTCTCTCAAGCCTGTGAGGTCAGGGTGTGAAGAGCGGCTATCTGTAAAAGTGATGATCCTTTTCTTATGTGATTTTCCTGATCGTTGCCTCAAAATGGGAGAGATCATCTAAGTGATTTTATTGGCCTCATACTGTGCAGGTAGTGGCTCAGCATTCACAAAACAATGTGGCTTCTTGAACTTTCCTATCAGAGGAATGTAAACTTTTCAGTGCCACCCTATAGTATTGCACAGCAGATTGGTGACTCTTCCTTGCTTTGCTTTCCACAATTACAATTTCGTCTTTAAACATTAAAGAATGATCTGGTAAAGGACAGTAGAACATTCTGGCTTCATCAACATTACAAATATCCCTTGGTGCATACCAGTTTAGGGTGTGAAAGAGACCATTTTACACCGTTTTATCTGTCCTTGCACTTCTCCTGCTGCATGTTCGCGATGTGGAGGGAAATGCATTGAGTGGTCTTGAATCAATCCAGCCATCCATCACTGCAGGTGAGCTCCTTATGGTCCAGACTGTCTACCAGCACAACATGCCTTTCCGGTAAGATTGGACCAGAGATGGCAACATTCTGTGCTCAAGCTGCCTTGAACCGCATTATCTGAGCTTCTTTGATGTTGTAATAATTAGCTGTTCTCGTCCTCTTTGGTACCGGAACGAATATCTTCTTGTTAAACAGTTCCAAGTTGTTCCCCTTGTGCTTCACAAACTTGATGGGTGGAATTTTCCATGCCTTAATGATGTCTGTTTTTCACTTTGTTCCAGGGTTTTCTACTTAGTCTGTAATTGACAGCACTTCTTGCTTTTGTTCAGGTTTTGCCATACATGCAGTGTTTCACAGAGAGGTCTTGGTGTTGAGTGAGATTTTGCACTGCAGTATTGCCTAACTCTTCACCAATTGCAAACCAAAACAGAAATTGCTGGAAAAGCTCAGCAGGTCTGGCAGCATCTGTGGAGAGAACTCAGAGTTAATGTTTCGGGTCCGGTGACTCTTTCTCAGAACTGATAGTAGCTAGGAAAATGTTGGTTTATATGCAGAAGATAAGGTTGGGGAGGGGCTAAGGAGTATATGATAGGTGGGGATAGACCCCCAAAGACAGACAAAGGAGTGGATACGATCTGGCTAGGAGAGCGAATAGCTATTAATGAGGACTATTAGTGGCTAACAATGAGTTGTGAGGAATTGCAGACTGTGTGATAACCAGGCCTGTTGTATGGGGCTTGGGGGTAATGACATGGGAGAGCTCAAGCCCTAAAGTTGTTCAACTCGATGTTGAGTCCAGAAGGCTGCAGCCTTCAACAATTTCTTTTCATCACCAATTGACTCGGGTGGTCAAATGAATTGCATGTAGGTGTTCAGTAACCGAGTGTTACCAGTCCGGAACATTGTTTCTTCCTGTACTGCTGGCGGGAACAGCTGACAACTTTGCCACAATCAGTGTGTTGGATTCCCTGAATTTGAGTCATTAGGGTTTCAAGTGTATTTTCTTGCAAAGAATACAGAGCAAAACAATAACTCGAAGGATCAAATTACAAAGAGAAATTATACATGCAGGGATGGTCTGCTCTGGAATTTGGAAGATTAGGGAGTAACTTGATATAAGAGAAACTGATAGGCTAGATCGAGAAAAACTTTTCTCTGATTGGGAATCTCAGACTAGAGGACATAGCTTAAAAATAAGATTCAACAAACTTTTCCAAAATGCAGTTTAGAAACCCTACTACATGTGATATAACGTTAAAATACTCTTCCATAAATAAGCATTAGTACTAATCAATTGTTAACTCTAAAACTGAGATTGATAAATTTTTGATATCCAGAGGTATTGTGGACTTACAAACTCAGATGATTACAGAACAGAAGGAGGTCATTCAGCCCATCGTGTCTGCACTGGTCAACAAAATGCTGCAGTTCTAACATTATATCCCTACTCTTGTATTCTGTGCCTCAGCTAACAAAGGCAAGTATCCCATACGCATTCTCAAGCACCTTGTCTTCCCCTGCTGGCTGCAGGGATCTGTGATGATGCACACCAAGGTCCCTCTGATCTTCAGTAATTACCAGGTCCTACCATTCATTGTGTAATCTCTTTCCTTGTTAGCCCTTCCCAAGTGCCTTACCTCACTCTTGTTTTCTAGATGAATTCCATTTGTCTCTGCTGTGCCCAGCTGAGCAATCCATTCATATCCTCCTGCAGTTCACAGCTCCTCCTCACTATTTACTACCTTACGAATTTTTGTGTTATTTTTGTACCATTTAAGTCCAAATCATTAATATTAACCATAAACAGCATGATCACCAGCACTAAGCCCTCCAGAACCCCAATGGAAACACCTCTAGTCACAGAAACGTCCCTCACCCTCTGCCTGTTGCTTTTCAGCAAATTTTGGATCCAACCTGTGACCTTTCCTTACATCCCACGCTCTTCCTTCCTCTCCCCACCTGCCATGAGTGACCATATTAAAGCCATGCTGATGTCCATGTAGACCACATCAAATGCATTGCCACCTTAAAAAAAAAAATTGACCAAATTTGTCAACCAAGAGATAACACAGTGTGGAGCTGGAGGAACACAGCAGGCCAGGCAGCATCAGAGGAGCAGGAAAGTTGACGTTTCAGAAAATGACCTTCCCTTAAATCCATGCTGACTGTCCTTGATTAATCTGCATGTCTCCCCAAATTCAGCCCCTCAGAATTCTTTCTAATAACTTTGCTACGACTCAGCTTAGACTTACTGGTCTGTAATTTCTTGGTCTATCCCTCCCTCCTTTTTGAATCAATGGGACAACACTCTTGGCAGTCCTCTTGGCGTCTCACCTGTGACCACAGAGGATTTGAAAATTAATGCTCGGACTCGTGCTTTCTTGTCTTTATCAGCAGCATCTCATCCAGGCCTGTGAATTTATCCACTTTTAAAACTGCTAAACCTACTAATACCTGCTCTTCCTGTTTTTTTAAAATTTCTTCCACTATTTCACAGACCTCCACCCTGATATCTATACCTGCGTTGTCCTTTTCTATTGTGAAGACCAGCACACCGTCTTAATGAGGACTGTGCCCATCTTCTAGGTCCAAACATATATTGCCGTTATGGTACCGAAATGGCTCTTACTCCTTACGCTGCCATTTGCAGTGCATTTCAGCCAAATTAGGCTTTTCCCAGTAGAGAACTTTTACTGCCAGTACATTTGTGTCCTGATCCATAGCCATTCTAAATCTAAATGAGTTATGGTCACTATCTTAAAAATGCTCCCCGACTGATGCGCCTTCCACCTGCCTCAGCTCATTAGAACTGCCTTCTAGGGCTTTCTATCTTCTGGCAACGTAATTTCTTCTGGTTGTATTTTAGAATGTTGCCCCCTCTCTACCTTGCACACTAAAACTATCCCAGTTAATGTTTGGGTAGTTCGAATTCTCTACTATTCATATCATTGCTATTATGCTTCATGAAATTTGATTACACCCTCTTTCTCTCACGCATATCTCTCTCCCACGCACACACCTCCCTCTCTCTCTCTCTCGCACACCCTCTCTCTCTCACGCATACCCTCTCTCTCTCATGCACACCCCCTGTCTTTTTCTCTCACACACGCTCGCTGTCTGTCTCACGCACACCCTCTCACTTTCCTCCCCCCACCCCCCAACTGCCTTATTTGCTGATCCATCCAAAATATCACTTTGCTGTTACAATTTAATTAGTTTTTCAATATTGAGAACCCCACCACCCCTTTCTAGTCCCCTCTCTATCATGTCTGAATACCCTACAACCAAGCATGTTGAGCTGCCTATTTGGCCCATCTTTCAGCTGTCTATAGCTATAACACACATTTATAGTTATGATGCAAATACCCCTCCCAGGTGCCTGTCTGTGCCATGAGAAAATCTGTATTATTTCTCATGTACCTTGCAAGGCTAAATGGAATACATTTTAATGCTAAACTCACTTCTTTCTTATCTAACCTATGTTTGCTCTGCCTTTCAGACTCTCTCACTAACATTTTAACTTTTTGTTCCATCTCAGCTTCTCCCTTCTGAACTAAGTGTCAGCATCTCAATCAAATTGAAATGTTTTCCAACACTGTTAATGCACATTCCTTTGAGAATGTTGGTCCCATTCCTGTTCCTGTCTACCTCCCACAGGAACGGTACCAATGCCTCAGGAATCAAAAGCTCTTCCTCCTGCACCATCTCTCCAGCCATGCACCCATCTGCTCTATCCTCCTATTCCTGTGCTCACTGCTGCATGGCACTACAGCTGTCACTAGGTCTTCATCTTGCCCACACCTCACCCATATTAAGGAAATAGGGCAAAGGTGTGGGGATCAGTCACAGACCAGCCATGATCTCATTGAATATCAATGGGGTAGATCAGTCTCAAGGAGTTAAATAACCTCTCTGTTTCTATGTTCCTAAAGAGAAGAACAGTGAAGTATAATGAATTTCCAGATCTGTCCTATCTTATTGTACATCACTCATTAGGGTTTGAAAGGGGAAGAGGATTTCAACAAATGGAGATAACAAGGTGTAGAGCCGAATGAACACAGCAGGCCGAGCAGGAAAGCTGATGTTTCGGGTCTGGACCCTTCTTCAGAAATGGGGGAGGGGAAGGGGATTCTGAAATAAATAGAGAGAGAGGGGAAGACGGATGGAAGATGGATAAAGGAGCAGATAGGTGGAGAGGAGACGGATAGGTCAAGGAGGTGGGGATGGAGCCAGTAAAGGTGAGTGCAAGTGGAGAGTTAGGGTGGGGGTTGGTCAGTCCAGGGAAGATAGACAAGTCAAGGAGGTGGGAATGAGGCTGGTAGGTAGGAGGTGGGGGTAGGGGTTGAGGTGGGAGGAGCGGATAAGTTGGAGAAAGGACAGACAGGTTAGGGAGGCGGGGACGAGCTGGGCTGGTTTTGGGATGTGGTCGGGGCGGGGAGATTTTGAAGCTTGTGAAGTCCACATTGATACCATTGGGCTGCAGGGTTCCCAAGCGAAATATGAGGTGCTGTTCCTGCAACCTTCAGGGGGCATCGTTGTGGCACTGGAGGAGGCCCAGGATGGACATGTCGTCCAAGGAGTGGGAGGGGGAGTTGAAGTGGTTCGCGACTAGGAGGTGCAGTTGTTTGTCGTGAACGGAGTGTAGGTGTTCCACACAGTGGTCTCCAATCCTCCGCTTGGTTTCCCCGATATAGAGGAGGCCACATCGGGAACAGCGGATACAGTATACCACATTAGCAGATGTGCAGGTGAGCATCTGTTTAATGTGGAAGGTCTTCTTGGGGCCTGGGATGGGGGTGAGTGGGGGGGAGGTGTAGGGGCAGGTGTAGCACTTCCTGCGGTTGCAGGGAAAAGTGGTGGGGCTGGTGGGGAGAGAGTGGTCCCTCCGGAAAGCAGATAATGGTGGGGAGGAAAAAATGTCTGGTAGTGGAGTTAGATTGCAGATGGCAGAAGTGCCAGAGGATGATGCGTTGGATCCGGAGGTTGGTAGGGTGGTATGTGAGGACGAGGGTGATTCTGTTTTGGTTGTTATCGCTGGGAGGGGGTGTGAGGGATGAGTTGCGGGAAACGTGAGAGATGCGGTTGAAGACGTTTTCGACCACTGTGGAGGGGAATTTGCGGTCCTTGAAAAATGAGGACATCTGGATGTCCGGGAGTGGAAAGCCTCATCTCGGGAGCAGATGCGGCAGAGGTGAAGGAATTGGGATTAGGGGATGGCATTTTTTCAGGAAGGTGGGTGAGAGGAGGTGTATTCTAGGTAGCTGTGGGAGTCGGTAGGCTTGAAATGGATATCGGTTTCCAGGTGGTTGCCAGAGATGGAAACAGAGAGGTCCAGGAGATGGTCCAGGTGAACTTAAGGTTGGGGTGGAAGGTGTTAGTGAAGCGGATGAACTGTTTGAGCTCCTTGTGGGAGCACGAGGTGGCGCTGATACAGTCATCGATGTAACGGAGGAAGAGGTGGGAGATAGGGCCGGTGTAGCTTCAGAAGAGGGATTGTTCCACGTATCCTACAAAAGCAGGCATAGCTTGGGCCCATGCAGGTACCCATGGCCACCCCCTTTGTCTGTAGGAAGTGGGAGGAATTGAAGGAGAAGTTGTTAAGGGTGAGGACGAGTTCAGCTAAGCAGATAAGGGTGTCATTGGAGGGGGACTGGTTGGGCCTGCGGGACAGGAAGAAGCGGAGGGCCTTTAGGCCATCTGCATGGGGAATGCAAGTGTATAGGGACTGGACGTCCATGTTAAAGATGAGGTGTTGGGGACCAGGGATTCGGACGCTTTGGAGGAGGTGGAGGGCGTAAGTGGTGTCACGGGTGTAGATGGGGAGTTCCTGGACCAAGGGAGAGAAGATGGAGTCGAGATAAGTGGAGATAAGTTCGGTGGGGCAGGAGCAGGTGGAGACAATGGGTCGACCAGGGCAGTCAGGTTTGTGAATTTCAACAAATGGACTTTGTTTCTAAGTTTCTACGTTCAATGCCCCGATGCAGTTATACCCTTTTCGTTTAAAGATAATTACTGCTATTTCCCTTTTCTCATTTCAGCAACTTGTTTTTAACTCCGTCACGAATTGCCTGGGTCCTCGAAAATTCCTACACAGTGGTAAACTTTATAAAGCCAAAAGTAACAAGGAGCTTTATGGCTTTCTCTTCAATGACTTCCTGCTGCTGACACAGATCATTAAACCACTAGGTTCTTCAGGAACCGACAAGGTCTTCAGCCCCAAGTCAAATCTGCAGTATAAAATGTACAAGACTGTGAGTAAAATTTAATAATTCAACTAAGCTGTAATGTTGCTTGCAAACAAAATAAAGTGAAACCTGCAATGTTGGCTAACCAGATAAGAGCACCGTGACATGCTATGCTGAGCCACACAAATCAACAAGACCAAAGATTTGATTCCCGGTTGTGCTGAATCATCTAGTCTCAGCTTTGGCTGTGATGGGTGTTAGCAGTTGTCAACATGAATGACTAGTGAGAGGAACCTTATTAAGGTTCTGTTTACCTGCAGGCCCTAATTTCAAGTGTGTACGATTGTTAAAAATGTTACAGAGGTTGTGTCCCAAATCTTTTGAGTTTCCAGTTCTTTACAAGAACTGTACTAACAGTTCAAGTTGAGAGAATGAGTGTTCTCTACCGTAGAATGCAGGATGTGCTGCAAAAACTACTACTGAATGTGAAATAAGAATATACAGTTTAAGATTAAAGAGCCCCAGTAAACAGGGAACCTGTTGTAGAACTGAATAGGAAATGAGCAGATTCATGATTTAGCAACAGTTTGAGATGCAAGTTTAGTGCAAGTCCTCGGGGAATGCAGAATGGAGGAGAAAAGACGCTGAGTGACTTGCTAAAAGATGTGATTCAACAATTCGTTGGTGAGTTTCAATTGCCAGCTACTGATTTCTCAACTTGATAATCATGTAGGCAGTAATTAAACATTGTGAGGACCTACCTCAGTTGTCTCACAGCTAGGTAAATATCCAAATCCTTTTGTGCAGGGTTGAGCAGCCAAAAAAAGACATTGTTAAAGTGACCAATGAAAGTTGCTCACAAAGCTGAAACTTCTCACCTTTTGAGTCACCTGAGCAGGATCACCAAAAGGAACAAGCAATACTTGACCCTCGCAACCCACCCAAAAAAAAACCCCAGAAACTCCTCCACCACCACTCAACCAACTCAGCCTGACACTGGCTTACGATGGTAACAGGAGACCTGCTGAGCACCGAAAACTAGCAGTGCCATATTAATGAGGTCTGGAAGTCCAAATACAATCCAAACATCACAAATAGGTGGACATGGCAGCCGTTCTATTAACTTCATGTCCATTTTGGGTGTTTCTTGCAACTGTGGCAGATTCCTATACTCAGTTACGACTTCCATATTACCATAGAGAAGTTACAGCACAGAAAAAAGCCATTCAGCCCATCATTTCTGTACTTGCTAAATAAACTAGCTACCCATTCTCACCCCACTTTCCAGTTTATCGTGCGTCAGGTGAAGATCCAGACTCCTCTTATATAAGTTGAGGGTTTCCTTGCACTACAAACAGAACAGTGAATTACAGACACTCGCCACCTTCTGGGTGAAAAGGCTTTTCCTCACGTCCCCACTATTGAATACCTAACCCAGTAAAGGGAATGTCCTGTATAACTTATCTACATTCTTATCTACATGTCCTGTCCCCTTCCAGGACCTGTAGACATGCATTCCAAGGTCTCTCATTTCCACTACCCCTCTCATTACTCTACTGTTTATTGGGTATCCCTTGCTTTGATAGCCCTCCCCAAATGCAAAACTTGCACTTCTCTGGATTGAATTCCATTTGCCACTTTTCCACCCACTGAACCAAATGATAACCATTCTCTTCATTATCAACTATCTGGGCAATCTTTGTGTCAACTGCAAATTTCCCCACCATGCTTTCCACATTTAAATGGAATCATTAATATACGTCACAGACAAGCAGGAGTGTCAAAACTGAGCTCTGTAGAATGGGACATGAAACCACTTTCCATTCACAAAAACATCCATTGACCATTACCTTTTGTTCCCTGTCGCTGAGCCAATTTTGGTTCCAGTTCACCATATTCCCCTGTGTGCGATGGGTTTTAATTTTTCTTAACTGTCTGCCATGTGGGATGTTGTGTGAAAAGGCATGCAGGTACATAACATTTTCAAACTGTAGATGCTACTACTTTTAAAAGTTCGACTGAGTCAGGTGGTGTGATAGTGATTTATTACATATTATTTAGCCCATGCAAGATCACTGCTGCCACAAAAAAAGGAGTTATGTTATGGTTGTTTACCTTTTTGCTTCTGTAATGTTTCCAGCCTATTTTTCTGAATGAGGTATTGGTGAAATTACCTACAGACCCTTCTGGTGATGAGCCCATTTTCCACATCTCCCATATTGACAGGGTGTACACGCTCCGTGCTGAGAGCATCAATGAAAGGTAAGGAGCAGACCCTAGTCTTGTTCATTTCTAATGCTTAGGGAGGGGAGATTTCCAAAGATGACAAAATTGTAAATGAGTACACAAAAGGCACTTAGTATATTGTAAGCAGTCAAAAGTGGATTTCCATACTATGACTTTTCTAATTTGATGTGATTTGATTTGATCTAATTTTACCGGTATTGATTGCAATTATGTATCCTATAATAGTTGGTTAATTGACTAATCTACTGCTTTTTCTCCACAGATGCTGCCAGATCTGCTGAGTTTTGCCAGCAACGTTTGCGTTTGTTTCTGACTTCCAGCATCTGCATTTTTTGAAAACCAAAACGAGTGGATGCCATAAATCAAAGATAGAAATAGATATTGCTGGAAAAGCTCAGCATGTCTGGCAGCATCTGTGGAGAAAAATCAAGGTTAACATTTTGGGTTGAGTGAGCTTTCCTCAGAATGGATGGTGGGTAGGAAAATTGTTTCAGAGATAGTAGGAACTGCAGATGCTGGAGAATCTGAGATAACAAGGTGTAGAGCTGGATGAACACAGCAGGCCAAGCAGCAGCAGAGGAGCAGGAAGGCTGACGTTTCTGGCCTAGACCCTTCTTCAGAAAATGTCAGTTTATATGGAGAGATAGGGTGGTTGGAGGGGTAGGGTATAAATGATATGTCGGGATGGAGCACAAAGAGAAATAAGGGCAGTTGGACAGAAAAAGGAGTAGGTAACAATCTGGCTAGGAGGCTGAATAGCTATTAATTGACTCTGCTAGTGGCTAACAATGGCTGGTGTGGAGTTATTGAACTCAATACTGAATCTGGAAGTCTGCAGGGTCCCCAAGCGAAGCAGTCACCCAGTCTATGCTTCATTTCCCCAATGTACAGGAGACCACATTGTGAGCAGCAAATGCAGTAGACTAGATTGTGTGAAGTTTGCTTTGCTTTGTTCAGAAAAAAGACGCTGAACTTCCAGTTGCCTGCCACTTCAACACACCACCCTGTCGTCTGGATAACATCTCTGTCTCAGGCTTGCTGCAGTGCTCCAGCGAAGCTCAGCGCAAACCGGAGGAACACTGTCTCATTTTCCGCTTGGGAGCCCTGCAGCCTTCGGACTTAATTTCAAGATCAATAACTTTAGACCCCCACAACCAGACCTCGTTATGAAATAGTCTGCTCTACACCTTGTTATCTCTGACTGCTTCTGCTGTTTGGCTTCAAGTATCGCTGGGACAGAGGGTGGTGCGTGTATGGAATAAGCTGCCAGAGGAAGTGGTAGAGGCTGGTACAATTACAACATTTAAAAGGCATCTGGATGAGTATATGAATAGGAAGGGTTTAGAGGGATATCGGCCAAATGCTTGCAATTGGGACTAGATTAATTTAGGCTATCTGGTCGGCATGGATGAGTTGGACTGAAGGGTCTGTTTCCGTGCTGTATAGCTCTATGGTTCTATATAAATGACATTTTCCTAGCTACCATCAGTTCTGAGGAAGGGTCACTCAACCTAAATTGTTGACTCTGATTTCTTTCCAAGATGCTGCCAGACCTGCTGAGCTTTTCCAGCAATTTCTATGTATATCTGCATTCTTTGTTTTTTAATCGGCTTTGCTTGCTTACACCCAAATGGACCACAAACATGGTTTTTAACCACACAAGCTCTACATTTTTTTGAGGGATGAGTGGGACACACAATTACCAATTAGCATAAAAGGAATATTCCCAACATATTTAATTTTTGCTGTCTGCAAAAAGGAACTCTTAAACTTGTATTTTCAACCTAGTGCTTAGCAAGGAGTACTTCTAATTTATGTGAATGGTACGGGACCCAGATAATATTGAAACCAAACTGATGTGTACAGCAGTATGATGAATGGTATGGTACGTCATAAGGAAAGTTCATTGGTGTGTAACTGCTAGGCAATGATGATGTGACTAACTCCCAGCATTCTCACCTCACATGTTATTACAGCAAGCTTCAGCATTCTAAGTTATGGAGCAGGCTAAAAAATAATCACACTTATTTTAAGCAATCTTTTTTTCCAAATTGGTTTCCTTCAAAGATAATATTCCACTAAGTTAAATATTTATTTTTACTAAGGGGTGATTTATGATCATGTTGAAATGCACTACAGTCACATTTGCTGGAGATCCTTTTATAGAATTAGCCTGTGGTAAGCAAAGCATGCTCTTTACTATGTACTAACTAAGAGACTTCTGATGTTGTGTTGGTATAAGTATTTCCGATCTGTGATGGGAAACTTGGTGTTAATTACAGTGCTGCTGAAATCCCTCTGGGATACAAATCTTGAAAATACTGCAGATTAATTCAAGGTTTTAACAAAGCGCTCAGTATAACAGGAATTTATTGAATCAGATAGCTGGAAAACCGTTTGTAATTCTTGAGATTCCTGATGGTTCTGACAAGACTAGGTAAAATAGTTACACAGGAAAAGTTGGACTATTAAGTATTCAAATTATTTCTTGTGGAAACAAAATTTGCAGACGCTCATTGCTATGACAAAGCACTCCCAAACGTAATTTAAATTTAATTTTTAAAGATTCTGATCTAAGAACACATCTCGGCCTCGCATTTAAATGAGAACATTGACTGTACCTCACCAGTTCACGTGTGGCCTTCCAGAGTGATGCTGCATAGTGTTGCCAAATTAAGGGCAACTTTGTGCTCCCAAGTCCATTGTCGTTAGAAATTAAATTCAGGATGTCTGCACCCAAAGGTCACTACATTGAGCAAACAGACCAAATTTTCATCCATCAACTCTGGGCTAGAATTGAATGTTGTCACAGAAATGGAGGAAACACCATCAGCATCCAATAACACTGTTTATTCCATCCTACTATTCATTGCTTTTCATTCTACAGAACAGCTTGGGTGCAAAAAATTAAAGCTGCTTCAGAACTCTACATAGAAACAGAAAAAAAGAAGCGAGAGAAGGCCTATTTGGGTAAGTAATGCCGTTAGTACTTGCATTGAAAGAATTTCTTCAGATGTAGTCCATCTTCAAATATGTGTTCCCCTTTTGCTTTCTCCTCCAGTTCGTTCTCAAAGGGCTACAGGCATTGGAAGGCTAATGGTGAATATAGTCGAAGGCATAGAGCTGAAAGCATGCAGATCCAGTGGTGAGAACTTCCTCAGTTTCCTGTGTATTCCACACTCAACATCAATCCCCAGAGAAAATATCACTCATGGAGTAATGATGATTTATATTCTCAAAGTGGGAAGTCTTACTATTGCTCTATTTGTACGCACATTTGACGACCATGAATTAGCAAAATTTATTCAACAAGAAGAAAGTTGCTTTAAGTGTTCGCAGCCCCCCGAGAGTCAAGTGCTGAACCATTTTCATGGGAGTTGAACTTTCAAATTTGTCCATCGTGCTTTAATGTTGAATTCAGAGAATCTCTCACATTCTCAGTGAGAGTAATCACTGACTGCAGACCAGGAAGACTCAAGATTCAGGATCTGATCTGATCTTATCTGTACTTAGTTGGTTAATCTCAGGTAGGTTAGTGGTAAGCACATGATAATTGGCCTCAGCACCCCTGTGTTAGGGAGCAAAAACTGTCTCAAACTTCTACTACTGATGACCAATCCATGACCCTAGCTGTATGTTCAGATGAAGTCTGGATTAGCTATTTCTGTAGATTCATAGAGCCAATAGATCAGTATAGCACAGAAACAGACCCTTCAGTTCAACTCGTCCATGCTGACCAGATATCTGAATTTAATCAAGTCCCATTTGCGAGCATTTATCCCATATCCCTCTAAATCCTTCCTATTCATATACTCAGCCAGATGCCTTTTAAATGTTGTGATTGTACCAGGCTCCACCACTTCCTCTGGCAGCTCATTGCACACACGCACTGCCCTCTGTGTGAAAAAGTTGCCTCTTAAGTCCCTTTTAAATCTTTCACCTCTCACCTCAAACCTATGCTCTGTTTTGTGGATTCCCCTATCCCAGGGAATAGACCTTGGCTATTCACCTTATCCGTGCCACTCATCATTTTATAAACCTCTATAAGGTAACCTCTCAGTATCCGATGCTGCAATGAAAATAGCCCCAGTTTATTCAGCCTCTCCCTATTGCTCAAACCCTCCAACACTGGCAACATCCTTGTAAATGTTTTCTGAACCCTTTTGCTGGTGTGTCTGTGTTTGGCTTGTGCAATTATGGATGTGTTATCCCAGTCAAATTCATGTCCCTCGTTGTCTGTGTGTAATGAGACAAGTGAGAATTGGTCATGTCTCTTGGTGTCTCATTGGTGTTCATGTATCCATATTGTCAGTTTTCTTCAGGTTTGGCCTAACCTCCACCACCATCTGGCCTCAGTAAACAACTTCCACCTACCTCAGGGTCCCTACATCTCTTTCCACTCCCTGCAACTGGATCCAAAACTCATCCCAGACCTGACACCTATCCACCCTGCCCCCTGCCAGTTCCAGTTTCTCAAGTTTAACAACATCCTTCCGATAGCAGGGAGACCAAAATTGCATGCAGTATTCCAGAAGTGGCCTAACCAATATCCTGTACAGCCTCAACATGACATCCCAACTCCTATTCTCAATGAACTGGCCAATAAAGGCAGGCATATCAAATGCTACCTTCACTATCCTGTCTATCTGCGACGCCACTTTCAAGGAATTACGAACCTGTACTCCAAGTTCTTTTCATTCAGCAACACTCCCCAGGACCTAATCACTACGTGTATAAGCCCTGCCTTGATTTGCCTTTCCAAAATGCAGCACCTTACATTTATCTAAATTAAACTCCATCTGCCACTCCTCAGCCCATTGGCCCATCTGATCAAGATCCCATTGTACTCCGAAGTAACCTTCTTCGCTGTCCACTACACCTCCAATTTTGATGTCATCTGCAAACTTACTAACCATACCCGCTGTGTTCACATCCAAATCATTTATATAAATGACAAAAAGCAGTGGACCCAGCAATGATCCTTGTGGCACACCGCTGGTCCAGTCTGAAAAGCAACCCTCACCCACCACCCTCTGTCTTCTACCTTCGAGCCAGTTCTGTATCCAAATGGCTAGTTCTCCCTGAATTCCATGTGATCTAACCTTGCTAACCAGCCTACCATGAGGAACATTGTCAAACGCCTTACTGAAGTCCATATAGATCATGTCGACCACTCTGTCCTCATCAATCCTCTTCATTACTTTGTTACTGTAGAAAGAATAACATGCCAACACTTGGGTTTTATGCAGTTACTGGGGTAAATTAATCATGGAATCATAGCTTAGCGAATAGCCTTGCAAGTGTAAAGTATTTTCTCCTTAACTGGATGAAGAGGCTTGCATGTTCTCAGGTTTGCAGAATTATTGAATAATAACTTTGCACTTTTAAACTTCATTCCTGGCCAAAAGAAAATCTCAAAGCTTTCTGAGCCAATGATCTTTGTGACAATGATGGTGAATGTCCATGAAGGTTCCTCAGCTGATTGAGTAATATCAGTAAAAGAGCCACCATGAGCCAGAGAACCAATTAACATGGCTTTAATCTTGCCAGTATTTAGTTGGATAAAATCTTGCTGTTTCTCAGTTTTTTTAACCACAGCACAGTCATGGAATAAAGTGGGAGGGACCCAAATAGTAAAGCTCTGTGTGGTCAACATGCCCATCAAAGCTGAGACAGTTTTTAGATGAGAAACGGTGATGGATGGCATTAGGGCATATTGTTTGTGACTCTAGCGCAAGAAGGGAAATGATTCCCTATGAAGATCATCTGGTGATGTCAAGGTAATCACGATTATGAGACAAAATCTACACATTTAAGGAAAACTTTAAAAAACATTGGCCCAAATTTTTTGCTGGTCTGACAGAAGTTATTGTAGTTGTTATGGCCAAACCCCTCTGATAATTAAACCAAAAACACAAGCTCTGGTCTGTTATGGTGAGAGTAGAGATTCCCCTCTAAAAATTACCCCCAAAACACCCAGAGAAGCTCACCTTTCCTCTCATAATCTGTTAAAAGAGTGGTTAAAAGAAAGAAAATCTCTGATCCACTTTACAAATAATGAGAAACAATTTAGTTGTTTAACCCTAACAATGAACAAATTAACAGAACTACTAACAAACTGAACAATTCCCCCTAGACTACTAACTACTTCTTAACTCGTCTAAATTCTACTGGAATGCTGTATGAATAAACACAAGTCCCACTTGTACAAACAATAAATTGAAACCTAATCTCTCCAAGTTCACACAATCTATGTCATCTCCGTTATACCTCCAATCTTCCTTCTGTTGATTTCATGTCACAAATGCCTTTCTTCTACTGATTCTGCTCTCTTGGATGTTTTTTCCCTTCAATTTTTTCGGTGAGGACTTTGAGCTAACATGCCATGGTACCTTTGATGGGTCTTTTCAGAGACCTCAATAATTTTATGTGAAAGCCAGGTTTGTATCTCAGATGGTGGACTTGCTTTTGCTGCAGCCAAAGTTTGGCTCTCCCCTCAGATGGCAGTTGGCTCTCTCTGATTTTTCAAATGCCCTCATCTTTATATACCACCCCTCCCATGGCAAATCAATTTCTTATAATATGATTAGTTTTAGGTTGTCAGCACCATCTGAATTAAATTCAATTGGCTTTCTGTATCTAGGTGCTTGTTTTAAATTGGCTAAATTCAAACTAGTTGTCAAAACATCAAAACAAGTCTGAAGTTTCCACTCCCACAGCTGATAGATACATGTTGCAAATTTAGAATTGTCTGTACTATTTCCCAGCTGCTTACAGACACCTTCTCTGTTTAACTCTAAGGTTAAAAGCACTTTACCTCTTAAGTGACCACATATTTTAGCTTCCTGCCTTCCAGTTCACACATACTGTACCCAACTTCATAACACAGTAAAGATTGGAGGCAGAATCTTCATTGTGCCAAACTCTGAAGGAATTATCCAGGAAATTGAAGATTCCATTGGGCAATTCCTCTATTCCTGGAACCATCCAAAAATCTCTCTCTCAATTTTGGAAGGTTCTGACAAGACTAAGTAAAATAGTTACTCGGGAAGAGTTAGACTATTAAGTACATATCCTAACTCCTGATGAATTGTTTGATAGACCCCACATCTACCTCACATCTAGCCCCTGCAACTACACCATCCCCCAGATCACTTACAACTATCCAGACCACTGCCACCAACCTGACCCACCCAACTTCCACCGCCACCCGGCCTCCGAGTAAATAACTCCCACCTACCTCAGGGTCCCTACACCTCTTTCCACTCCCTGCAACTGGATCCAAAACTCATCCCGGACCTGACATCTATCCACCCTGCCCCCTGCCAGTTCCAGTTTCTCACACCCAGCATCACCTACCTGAAATACTGCATCACTTGCCTGCACTCTACCCACTTAGTGCACTACTTACCTGACATCCTTCCTCGCCTGCCAACTAACTTAACTGGCACCTACCCTGCCAGTACACTAACATTATACATATATACTTGCCCTTTTGACAGCAGCTGTCAGAGGCTATCTGGATTTTTAAATGTCAGAATACTACAGCTGACGACTGTGAACAGGGGCATGGTTTGTCTTCCTGTGACAGCTCTGTGCTACAGAAGAACCGTTGGAATGAAAGTATGGCTCTAAAGATTTCGAGAAGATTTGTAGCTTGGGTTGTGGATGAGGTTGCAGACTTACTTGTCGAGCTGGTGTGTTTGGATCCAAACGTTTTGTAACCCTGCTAGGTAACATCGTCAGTGCGTGTCCGATGAAGCATCAGTGTTCTGTCCCGCTTGTTATTTACATGCCTCCGTTTGTTGGGGTGTTTGGTATTACTTCCGGTTCTGTTTCTCAGTGGTTTGTGCAAAAGGTGTCTTTCTTGAGTCTTTCCAGGGCTTTTCTCTGTTCTGTGTTGAATGTGTTCCACCTACCTTTTTGCTAGGTGTTGGGACTATCGTCTGTCTGATGGTCTGTTGTACTTCTTCCGTGAGTCCGTTGGTCTTAAGTGTCGATTCCAGCACAGCCAGGAAGTCAGTCTTTTTAGCATCTCTGTAGTTATAATTCTGTCCACGTACTAGGACAGTCATCTCAGTGTCTGTAAGTGTTCGGTCCAAGATGTTTTTAATCCATGAATCTGTGTTGTCCATGTCATTGATGGGGTGATTTCGGACAGTTTTTCTTGAAGGGCTGGTCTTTTTTTGTTGTATGCTGATGGCTTGTTCCATTGTGGATGTCCATTCGTGATCGGTTGCGTTGGAGTGCAGAGTTTTTTAGTGCATAATTTCCTGCTCGTATTTGTGGAGGCGGTTGTGTATCAATCATGTAAGCAGGCAACCCAGGACACCAACAACATCAATAAGGACACTACCATGAAACAAGAGATCCGTGCCTGACAACCCACTTCACTTTCGACGACAGCATATACAAACAAATCAACGGAACGCCAATGGGATCCCCAATATCAGGACTGATTGCAGAAGCAGAAGCAGTAATGCAGAGGTTAGAACATACAGCGCTCTCCACTTTACAACCCAAACTTTGGATCCGATATGAAGACGACACCTTTGCGATTATTAAACGCACAAAACTGGAAGAAACCCACTGACACATAAACAACATCCTCACCGGGATAAAATTCACAAAAGAAGAAGAGAACAACAAACAACTACCCTTCCTGGACATAATCGTAGAATGCAAAAGCAATGGGGTACTGCAGACTAGCATATATAGAAAGACCACACAAACGGAACAAGTACTCAATTACACTAGCAACCACCCCAACATCCACAAATGGAGCTGCATCAGGACACGATTTAAACAAGCCACAACACATTGGAGCAACCCCGAACTATGCAAAGCAGAACAGGAGCACTTCAAAATACACAGTCCTCAAAAGGAATGGATATCTGAAAAGCACAATCCACCATTACCTCCGAGACAGACTACAGTAGGAAGACACAACACGACCAAATTCACTAATCACGGTACCTTGCATCAAGGACTTTCAGAGATGACTACGAGGTTACTTAGACCCCTCGGTATCAGAGTAGCCCACAAACTAATAACAACCCTACGATAGCTACTGACAAATGTAAAGGCTCCCGTACCCAAAACCAGCAAGACCAGTGTAATATACAAAGTACCATGCATGGACTGTGAGAAACACTACATAGGCCAAACCGGAAGAAAACTGACAATACGGATACATGAACACTAACTAGACACCAAGAGAGACGACCAGTTCTCGCTTGTCTCACTACTCACGGTCAACGAGGGACACGAATTCAACGAGGACAACACATCCAAAATTGCACAAGCCAAACAGTGACATGCCAGGGAATTCCTGGAAGCTGGGTATTACATCTGGAACTCCATCAACAAACACATTGAATTAGATCCTGTGCAACGAACCGGGCCAAGTGTTAGACCTGTTGGTAGGAGAGCATTTTGGCGGTAGTGATCATAACTCTGTTTCTTTCACGATAGTCATGGATAAGAATAGGTAAATACGCCAGGGTAAAGTTTATAATTGGGGGAAGGGTAATTACAATTCAGTTAGGCAAGAACTGGGTAACAGAAATTGGGAACAGATGCTGTCAAGGAAGAGCACCACAGAAATGTGGAGATTGTTTAAGGAATGCATACTGCATGTGCTCGATATGTTTGTCCCTAGCAGGCAGAGAAGATGCGGTCGAGTGAGGGAGCCATGGTTCTTGAGAGAGGTCCAACGACTGGTTAAGAGGAAGAAGGAGGCTTATGTAAGGTTTAGGAAAAGAGGAACGGAAAAGGCTCTAGAGGGATACAAGTTAGCCAGGAAGGAGCTGAAGAAAGGGCTTAGGAGAGCTATAAGGGGGCATGAGAAAACCTTGGCGGATAGGATCAAGGAAAACTCCAAGGCTTTTTACACGTATGTGCAGAACAAGAGAATGACCAGAGAAAGGGTAGGGCCGATCAAGGATTGTAAAGGGAATTTGTGCACAGAGCCTAAAGAGATAGGAGAGGTCCTTAATGAATACTTTTCTTCAGTATTCACAACTGAGAGGGACCTAGTTGTAGAGGAGGACATTGTGAAACGAGCAGATAGGCTAGAGGAGGTTGATGTTAGTAAAGATGATGTGCTAGGAATTCTGAGGAAGTTAAGGATTAATAAGTCCCCCGGGCCTGATGGGATTTATCCAAGGATTCTATGGGAGGCGACAGACGAGATTGCAGGGCCTTTGGCGATGATCTTTTCGTCCTCACTGTCCACGGGTATAGTGCCGGAAGATTCGAAAGAGGCAAATGTCATTCCCTTGTTCAAAAAAGGGAACAGGGATAACCCCGGAAATTACAGACCAGTTAGTCTTATGTCAGTGGTGGGCAAATTATTGGAAAGGGCTCTGAGAGACAGGATTTATGATCACTTGGAAAGGCACAGTTTGATTCGTGATAGTCAGCATGGATTTGTGAGGGGTAGATCATGCCTCACAAACCTTATTGAATTCTTTGAAGAGGTGACAAAACACGTGGGTGAAGGTGGAGCAGTGGATGTGGTATACATGGATTTAAGTAAGGCGTTTGATAAGGTTCCCCATGGTAGGCTCATGCAGAAGGTAAGGAGGCATGGGATAGGGGGAAATGTGGCAGATTGGATTCAGAATTGGCTGACCCTTAGAAGACAAAGGGTGGTAGTGGACGGAAAATATTCAACATGGTGCTCAGTTACGAGTGGTGCACCACAAGGATCTGTTCTGGGTCCTCTTCTATTTGTGATTTTTGTAAATGATTTGGATGAAGGAGTGGAAGGGTGGATTAGCAAGTTCGCGGACGATACGAAGGTGGGTCACGTTGTGGACAGTGTGGAGGGCTGTTCTAGGTTACAAAGGGACATTGATAGAATGCAGAGCTGGGCTGAGAAGTGGCAGACGGAGTTTAACCCTGAAAAGTGTGAGGTGATTCATTTTGGAAGGACAAACTTGAAAGCAGAATACAGGATTAATGGAAAGATTCTTGGCAGTGTGGAGGAGCAGAGGGCTCTTGGGGTTCATGTTCACAGTTCCCTGAAAGCTGCCACCCAGGTGGATAGAGTTGTTAACAAGGCGTATGGTGTGTTAGCTTTCATTAATAGAGGGATTGAGTTCAAGAGCCGTGAAGTTATGCTCCAGCTATACAAAAGCCTGGTTCGGCCACATCTGGAGTATTGTGTCTAGTTCTGGTCACCTCATTACAGGAAAGATGTGGAAGCGTTGGAAAAGGTGCAGAGGAGATTTACCAGGATGTTGCCTGGAATGGAGGGAAGGTCTTACGAGGAAAGGTTGAGGGAGCTAGGGCTTTTCTCTTTAGAATGACCAAGGATGAGAGGTGACTTGATAGAGGTGTACAAAATGATCAGAGGTATAGACAGACAGCCAGAGACTTTTTTCTAGGGTGGAGGTAGCTTTTACGAGGGGACATAGTTTTAAAGTGAAAGGAGATAGATATCGGGGAGACATCAGAGGTAGGTTCTTTACTCAGAGTGGTAGGGGCGTGGAATGCATTGCTGGATAGGGTAGTGGAGTCGGCCTCATTAGGGGCATTTAAGCTGCTATTAGATAGGCATATGGATGATAGTATAAGGTAGTGGTGGAGGTTAGATAGACCTTAGGTTTTGGGTAAAAGTTTGGCACAACATCATCGGCCGAAGGGCCTGTACTGTGCTGTACTGTTCTATGTTCTAAACCACTGAGAAACAGATCTGGAAGTAATGCCAACCATCCCAGCAAACTGAAGCGTATAAATAATAAGTGGGATAGAACACTGATGATTCACCGGAGGCGCACTGACGATATTACTTAGAAGGGTGACAAAACATCTGCAGTCAAACACACCAGCTCGGCGAACATGGCTACAACCTCAAAGTATGGCTCTGCATTTCAGAGGGAGCCCTGAGCAGAATCTGCTCTTGGAAATGCGAAGCTCCCTTCTATCGTAAAAACAAAAGGGATAGAGTGGCAATCTGTGAGAGATTTTCCTTCTTGGGAAATACTGGCCCATTGTGTGAGGTTTTTGACATCACCCTTGAGATTATATTCCTTCCTTGTGGGAGTTCAGTCAAGATTCACTACAACTGGTAGCTGAGATGAAGTGACTTTAGTAAAAGGTGGAAATGTAATAAATGGAAGATGAGGAAAAAGAACAAATGAAAAGTATTTCTTAATTGAATCTCCTTAAATAACGAGTTAATAAATTCTGTGATTCTGTATTCCATTAAAACCTATCTAGGATTTTAATCAATTTTTTTTCCCCATCTCTCTTTTAGGGAAGAGTAATCCTTACTGTGAAGTGACTATGGGCTCTCAGTGTCACATCACAAAAACCATTCAGGATACTCTGAACCCCAAATGGAATTCTAACTGTCAGTTCTTCATTAAAGATCTGGAACAGGATGTATTGTGTATCACTGTATTTGAGCGTGACCAGTTCTCACCAGATGGTAAGGGTATTATATCAAGGTGAAAATTTGGATCTAAGTATGTTTTTCTAGTAAACCATTGAATTTTGTATGTGGATCCTTTTTGTTAATTAACCTGAGCACAATTTACAAGAGTTGGGATTTGTTCCTCTCGTTTAATATTGCTATTAATTTGATTTGATTTATTGTTGTCACATATACCTAAGTACAGTGAAAATTTTTGTTTTGCGAGCAGTACAGGCAGATCATAACACACAAGGACATATAGATCATTGAGTGTTTAGACAGAACAAGGCATACAAAGTTACGGCTGCACAGGAGGTGCACAAAAGCAAAGTCAACATTAGATTTGAAATTAGAGAGGTCCACTCAGCATCCTAATAACAGCAGAGAAAAAGCTGTTCTTGAACCTGTTGGTGCATAAGTTTAAGCTTCTGTATTTTCTGGTTGATGGAAGAGGTTGGAAGAGGGTATTACTGGGGTGGGAGGAGTCTTTGATGTTGGCAGCCTTTCCGCTGCAATGAGAGGTGTAGATGGAGTCAGTGGATGGGCTTTCATGATGGTCTGGGCTGTGTACGTAACTTTTTGTAGTTTCTTACATTCCTGGGCAGAGCAGTTGCCATACCAGGTCGTTGTGCACCCAGATAGAATGATTTCAATGGTGCATTTGTAAATGTTGGTGAGGATCCTTATGGACAAATTTCCTAAGCCTCCTGAGAAAGAACAAGCATTATTGTGTTCTGCATCAGCATGACCCAGTCAGCTCGCTTTCCATGATCCCAAGTAGTGCCCTTTTCAAACCATGGCCAGAAGTGGCAAAACATCATAAAAGTTTGCAATGTATTTGAACTATCCTACTGTAAAACATGAGGTCAATCCCCCTCATCTCAGCCTGCTATTCTGATACTGTTGCTTAGTTTGTATACATTTTTCTGTTAAAAAATGGACTGTTTACTGTGAATCTTGAAGCAGGTACAAACATGTAACATTATACCATTTGTCCAACTCATTGAAACTATGTAAGATAATCTCACACAATGTCTCTGCCAACCTCAAATTCTTGATTAAAGAAAACGTAACCATTTCAGTGGTCAGAGTGTAAGATGGATGAATCAGAGCAATGATTTAATTGTTAACTGCCATCTTCATGACCTAATTGATAATTCATCTAGCAATATCTCACATACAAGAGATCTTCAAATCATCAATTTATTTTTATGTTTACCAGGATCTTTGCAGTTCCCAACTAGACCATGAAATCCTTTCAAGTTTCACCAGCTTATCCTGCAATATTTCTTCTTTTCCTATCATTCCAGTAACCTGGCACTCCACCTGCTGGCTTTTGTTTACAATAAATGTAACAGTCATACTCAATCCAACGTTCATTATTCTAAAACAAAAACAGAAATTGCTGGTGATACTAAGCAGGTCTGGCAGCAACTGTGGGGAGAAAGCAGAACTAATGTTTCGAGACTCTTCATCACAATTCCCTATTTTAAGATTTATTGCCTTTGTTGGGGATTCCCTTTCAAACAAAAATAACGTCCTGATTTTTATGATATAGGTAAATTTCCCTGAATCCAGACAAGCAATAGATGCTTGTTCCAGTTTGTGTTTTCCTACTTGTGAACCAATCAATTATTTGGCACATTATTTAATTAATACAAGGATAAAAAGCACTTGCTTTATATGTAGTGCCTAACCCTAACCCCAATTTCTTCCAGTCTGGAAGTAGCACAAAGAAAACTTTTCTACTGTGGAGACTTTATTCTCCTAACTGTCCTACACTTCACTCAGGAGACAAAACTTAACTTACGTTTGAACCCAGTTAGGTTTCTTCCAACTTACCTTAAAAACTTCGAATCTCTGGGTTTTCTAAATTAAAATCAAGCCTTGATTATTGTGAACTGAAAACAAAAGGTAATGGCCTTCCATGTTTATACTATCTGTCATAAACCCCACAGTATAAACCTCTTGTTCCATTGACATTCAATAATTTCACACTGACCTTATCTCTAACACATACTGGAATATTCATTGTTTTGGAGGGACTCACTAACTTGTTCAAAAAAAGTTCACAAAAGTAACCAGCATCCATTTGCCACTGTTTTCAAATCCAAGCTCTAAAAATGATACTTATATCTACAAATAACTCACGCTTCATCACAATATCAACTGATGAGAATTGTACTTTACAAAGATGGGTTGGTGCTTTTGCCATTGCCACGTGCCTTGGCTAAGGTACCTGCCTTAGAATATCTCCCTAGAAATCAGGGAGAAGGACCATGATACAATTTAAGAAATTAGCATACAAAAAGAGGAGACTCTGAATGATCTGGCAAGTTTAAAAGTAGATAAATCACCACGGCCATATGAAAGTCAGGGAGGAAATAGCAGGGGTGCTGGCAATAATTTTCAATTCCTGTCTGGCCACAGGAAAGATGCTGGAAGACTAGAGGACAGCCAATGTGGTACAAGTATTCAAGAAGTGAGGAAAGAATAAACAGGAAATAGGCCAGTCAAAACTCAGTAGTGAGGAAACTATTTGAAGCAATTCTGAGGGACAGAATTAATCTGTATTGGGAGAGGCAGGGATTAATCAAGAACAATCAACATGGTTGTCTTCGGGGGTGGTCATGTCTGATCAATTTGTTTGAATTTTTTTTGAAGAGGTGACCAAGTGTGTAGATGCAGGCAATACATTTCATGTTGTTTACTTGGACGCCAGCAAGGGTTTTGATAAACTGCCATATTGGAGACTGATAGTTAAGGTAGGTGCCCACAGGATTCAAACAAATTTGGCTAATTCAATCCAAAATTTGCTCAGTGGCATGAAGCAGAGGATGCTGGTTGAGGGGTGTTTTTGTCTTGAAGCCTGTGTCCAGTAGTGTCCTTAGGGATCAGTGTCAGGGCCCTTGCTGTTTGTGGTATTTGTTAGCAATTTAGATTTGAACGCAGGAGGATTGATCAGTAAGTTCATGGATGATATGAAAATTGGTGGGGATAGTGTTAGAACACAAAATAGAGGGGCTGATCAGTGACAAATGGAATTCAATCCAGATAAGTATGAGGTGATATACTTGGGCAGGACAAACAATTCATGGTACACGGTAGGACCCTGGAGACGACTGAGGGTCAAAGGATTTTGACATGCATGTCCACCAGTCCCTTAAGGTAGCGGGTCAGGGAGATAAAATGTTTAAGGAGGCATATGGGGTACTTGCCTTTATTAACCAAGGCATAGATCATAACTAAGAGCAGGGAGGTTATGCTGGAACTGGATAAAACGTTAGCTCTGCCAGCTAGAGTATGGTGTGCTGTTTTGGAATCCACAATGTGGGAGGGATACAATTGCACTAGAGAGGCTGCAAAAGAGACTTATCAGGATGTTGTCTGACCTGGAGAGTTTTAGTCTGAGGTAGTTTTCTTTGAAGCAGAGGAGACTGAGGTAGGTGACATGATTGAGATGTATAAAGTGTATAAGGGGAAAAGACAGGAAGGAACATTTTCCCATGGTGGAGGGATCAGTGACCAGAGGCCATAGATTTAACATAAGGGATAGGGCATTCAGAGGAATGTCAGGTAAACCTGTTTGACCTAGAAGCTGATGGAAATCTGGAACTCACTGCCTGAAAGGGTGATAGAAGCCGAAACCCTCAATATTTAAGAAGTATTTAGATATACACTTGCAATGCCAAGTCAACAAGGCTATAGGCTAAGTGCTGGAAACTGGGATTAGAATGGGTGCTCGTTTTTGATTGGCGTGGACTTAATGGATTGAAGGGCCTTTTTCTGTGCTATGCACTCCTATGACTTCGAAAAACTTTATAAATGCACATTTGTTTGTTTTTTTATTTTTGTGTTAAAGTAAGATTTTATTATAAACTTTCTTTTATGTTCCTATACCTCAGATTTTTTGGGCCGTACAGAGATACGTGTTGCTGATATCAAAAAAGATCAAGGCTCCAAAGGACCCGTTACGAAACGACTTCTGCTGCATGAAGTCCCTACTGGCGAGATAGTTGTTCGTCTGGATCTTCAACTTTTTGATGAAACCTAAGAGTGCTATATTGTATATGTGTATTTCTGTACTTTGAAAAGCCACATATGGCAACTTTATCAAGTACGTGCAAAAGCTGTCCAGGAATGCTGCAAAATTCAATACTGCAGTGTCCATGGAACATATTTTGTGTACTGTTTTATACATGACACTTAAAAAACATGGAATTACAGTTTGTAGATGTCTCTTTCATTTGTTAATATGTAGCTTTATCATCTCCACATTCCAGTTTGAATTTTTCAGATTATGTGATGATAAACATAATACTAAGGTCAGTCTTGAACTTGTTTGTTCAAACCTTGGCCAGTGGTTCTGAGGTGGACATTTAGTGACTTGCACAAGTTTTTATAGGGGAATTATAGAAGCCAAGTTGTATTTTTGGTAACATTCAGGTTGCGGTGAGAAATGTACATTTTGGACTGTGTCCTTATGTAGGATTACATTTACAGATAAGGATTTCTGGCTCAAACAGGCTATTCAGCCCAACTGGTTCATGCTGATGTTTGTGCTCCACTTGAATCTCTTGCTGTCTTTCTTAATCTAAATCTATCAGCATAACAGTTTAGTCCCTTCTCCTTCATATGCTTCATTGAATAAAGTTAACCATTTTGCCTCTGAGCACTTGATTCTAACATTTTTAGGTGTCAAATTTTAAAACCAAAGCACCAAGTCAAGATGGTAAGTCATCGATTATTCTAAACCAGTTCAGAAGAACTTCTTGCCACTAACTTAAGTACAAAATACACAGTTGATAAAATGAAGCCTGTGACCCTTATATAGCACATTAGAGAATAATTCATGATTTATTGATTCCTTGCCATGTGAATGTGAATTACTTTATGATTTGAAGCATTTTTGTCAGAATCTCCTTCTCATTGAAAACGTTCCTTTAGAAATTGATAGGGACTTTTGACTTGGTTTGAACTTCGACTTCTCACTTACCTAACTAGGCTCCCCTAAGAGAACAGATTCCTCCAATCAGTCAGTTCACCAGTTGAACCAGCAAACTAGGTTAGGTATTGGACTAAAGAAACTCAATCTCCTCATAACATCACAACGGTTCTAAGTGGCATGGCAACTTGTTTCATCCACTCTAAAGTAATAATTATATGTGTGGAAGGAGGAAGACAGAAAACTTATCATTAGTTTAAAGAATAAAAATGATGTCTACATATGTTGTCAACTTAACATCATGGAATCTGTATTGCACTTTTAGATGTTGAATAAACTTAATTTTAAATTAGCAGATTTTATGCACAGTCCCATTATACGCTGAATACTTTTCATAAACAAGCACTATTTTAGTTTGGTGATGAAATGTTTCCTCAGTATGCGACACGGTAACACAGCTCTAATGATCCGCAGTATTTGGTTTAAAAAAAAGTTCATGTAGTTGTTGATGGTTGTCATTTGAAAATCATCTACAAACTGTCTTTGTGTTGACTTATCAAATGTCTTTAATAATTTTTATTTTTAGTTTTGTCTTGAGAATAAAAGTTCAAGACACAAGGCCATGAATAAAATTACATACCCGCCAAAAATTTATATCACCTGAAAAGCTAAATAGTTTCATTTTTAATGTCAATTATAATCTTGTCCCATTAAGAAAATGTGACTGCACTCATCGTTGTAACCAACCTCAACACTGTTAGTTAAAGGTGGTAATATCAGCAAAATTAGATTTCAAAACCTCAAATTGAATAAATGTAGAGTGGAAGAATAATAGGACTTACATTTTGGTTACAGACACAATTCACCTTTCTTGAATGTGATAGCTAGTCTTATTGATGACACAAGAGGACTTCAGTTTTTATTCTATTCAGTCTCTTTTTGCACATTCAGCTATTTCCCATATGAAGCACAGAACTTCACAATAAGCGAATACTGTTCCCCTTTAAAAGAAATTTTCAAAATTTGAGAACATATTTAATTCCTGTTGTGTTTTTAAGCAGGTAATTCCATTTATGGGTATATGGACCATTTGACATGTTAAAAATAGAACTTGAAATAAAGTTGGTAAAACTTTCAAAGCCTACAATATGTGCCAACTGTTTACCAGCACAATGCTCACTTGCAAAGGCAAACTATTGTGAGGAACTTTACATTTGTGCATAGATAATTTTATCATTGTCTGTCATTATTTCAAAATCTTTTATTAAATCTTAACTAGCTTCACTTTTCCTTGTTTCAGCACAGGATTGATATTACTGATTCTATTAAATACAAATATGACTGTAATTGGCAGAATAAACATTTTGCACTTTTTAGTTAAAACAAAAGTAACACATCTAAAATTATCAGTTATTATTATTCCAGTAAATAACTTGTAAGCTAAATTTGTTTTACTAATTTACCGAGATACATTATAAAAGCACTATATATATATTAGCATTAAAGGGTTAGTAATTTATGACTGCAGGTGAAATTAAAAATGTCACATATGCTCCAGAAATATTTTATGGCTCTTATAGCAAGCTATTGTTTTGTATTCATTTCATTGTCTGACCTACATGCAGTTTCAAAAATATAGCTGTAGTTTTATTGTGTGTAGCTACTTTATTCACAAAAGGCAAGATATTTAAAGAATGTATATACTGTTTCAACTTTCACAGAGTTCTGATGTGTCTTTATCTCCAATTGTCAAATAAGAACCCTAAGCAAATCTAATATCTGAACAATATTTTTCACTGTATGAATCATTTGCTTAATATATAATGAAACATTGTCATAAGTATAGCAACCTACTGCTTAAGTTTCATTTTCGTGGTCATTTCCTAGAATTATTTTCAAGAGACACTTGCTGAAATATGCTAACTCCCACTCAGTTGTTGAATTCCTTCCATTCAGATTCATTGTGGATTTTGTCTAGTTAACTATTTTGTTGTTAACAAAAAAGATTTGTGTGTTCTTATTCTTAAGTTAAAGGATTTGATGATGGGTCTATACCGGTTTTTCAATTTTTTAACTACATCAGGTATCACATGGGCAGTACGGTGGCTCAGTGGTTAGCACTGCTCACAGTCCCAACAACCTGTGTTCGATTCCACCCTTGACTGACTGTGTGGAGTTTGCACATTCTCCCCGTGTCTGCGTGGGTTTCCTCCCACAGTTCAAAGATGTGCAGGCTAGGTGGATTGGTCATGTTAAATTGCCCATAGTGGTCAGGGATATGTATATTAGATGTCTTACGAGGGATGGGTCTGGGTGGGATGTTTTGAGGGGTGGTGTCGACTTGTTGGGCCAAAAGGCCTATTTCCACACTGTAGGGATTCTATGTCTGTGCAGAATTCTCAGTAAAATATTTGTTTATACGTTGCCTCTGTACCTCGAAGTGTATGGTTACAGGACATAATTTATGGAATTATTGGTTGCACAATACAAGTTTTTAAATCAAAACATTGGTGTAGTTGTTTACATGTTCACCCTTCTGTTTGGAAATCCATCTTAGCTTCCCAAAGATTTTTATGGGGACCTTGAAACATGTTCGTATAGTTTGATTTTTCGAAGTTAAAGGCAAATCAGTGACACCCCTGTGCTGTGCACAAGCAATTCTAAGCCTCATGAGTTTGAGCTTTTGCAGTGTGGCTTGATTTGGTTATGGCTATTCTGTGCTGCCCTTCTTCCACAGCGGTTAATCATTCTGAACTAACAGTGTTGTTACTAAAAATGTGAACACTCCATTGCTGATTGTGTTGTTCAGCTTTTGCACTTTGTTGTCAAAATAATGATATTGCTATAGTTTGGTTTACATAATATTGTGTAAAAATACATTAATTGAAACTTATAACTTACATACGCTAAAACTTTTCACAGCTAATTGAGGAACAAATTATGAGCATAACTGTTTTTAAACTGGAAGCTGCACTTTTAATGCAATTCAAACGTGATCATATTCTATGTAATTATTATTTGTATGGGAATTGTTAGTTACATGTCTGTATTGATAGGGTTTTTTAAGATCTTTTTTATACTAATGAATGCTATACCACACTTTAATGGGCAGGTGCATATTCTAACCATTGTTGTCTCAATCATTAAGAAACAAAACTGAACACTCATTGTCAGCTCTGCTTTTATTATTGTGCATGTGCAAGAGTTTCTGCCTACTTGAACCTTACAAAATTTCTGAGAAGTTATTAAAAGATGGAGCAAAATAAGTGATCCCATATATTGTGTATTAGAATTATCATAGTAATTTAGTTGGAGGTATACAACCACTTTAAATGTTTATTGTAAGTTATTATAAAGATAATGTAGCGGGCATTTTAAAAAAAATGAACAGTTGAGGCCAAAAAGTCAGTCTAATCCTCTATCTTCCTTGGTGTCCTAGGACTTTGTATATGTTTTTGGATAGTGCCCTGGAAGTATGCTGAATGTTTATCAGTTGACTGTTCTCTAATTTCTCCAATTGTTCTAGAAAAGCACTTCATTAGTTTGGAGCCTTTGTTTACAGTAGACTGTAAACATTAAGTCAATACTGAGAAGGAAGAAAGTATGACCAAACTTTCTTTTATTCCCTGCAGAGCAATGGTGCTCCAACTAGGCTCTGTACTAATTATCCTGAATATGAAAATATAATTTTGTCTTGGGAAGGACTGTCTTACTAAAATTTTGCTGCTGTGAACTGTGTTTAAATAACTTGTCGTTTAAATAACTTGAAATGTAAATTATAACAATGAATACTGCAACGACATAGTAGAGCAAACAGTTCAGCTCAACCTATATATGTGGGATAGGAACATTGTTTAACTGTAGAATCTTGATAGACTTGTTTGTGTTTGAGCGGTATGAATCTCCTAAGCCAAACCAGACACTATATAGCCAAATGTTACATGTTTACCGAATAGTAAATCACTGTCAGAGTGTTCATTGTTCTCCTTGTCACTGAGCAGACTGTTTACATATCAGCAATTTCTCTCTGTTGACGGGTTACATTTCTCTTAGCTTAAGTATTTAAGTGTATTTTCGAAAAGGAAAATAAACTTCTGCAAGTTAATACTGAGTTTCATTTAATGAAAAGGATAATTCTTTCTTTGGGACTATAGTGAAGTATACATACAGAAAGAACCCTCCTTAGCCTTCTTCCACCAAATGAAAATATCCTTTCTGGGAAGGAAGAAGGTGAATTATTAGAAGAAATGGAAGGCAACTTCCAAATTCCAGCGATGGAACATTAAATTGAATATCTTAAGCAGCTAAGTACTGGCCAAAACAGCCACATCTCCTATACAACTGCAAGACGATCTGATCCATACTCCATGCTAGACTTGTTTCTTTCCTAAACTTGCTGTGTTAAAATCATACGGTATCAACTAAATAACTGATTTAGTCCAACTAAAGTCCTCACCGAATATGGGTTGTGATAGAAGCACAATTTCAGTTGGGAAGAATAATTACTAATTATTTTAAACTGTTCTATAATTAAGTTGCATATAATCAGTTTGTATTCTTTAGTATCCCAGGTATTACCTGAAGGCACTTTGGTTTTGCGTCTCAGCCAAAGTCGAGTCAGCCCCTTCAGGTGAGCATAAATCCATGCACTGTCAAAGCCAAAAGTTCTTGCTATATCTTTGGTGGCAACTTATTCTGAGCAGATTGGATGCTGCTTCCTCTTAGTGCAACATTTCAGATGCTAACAGAGATTCAAGTCTGAACTTCAGTTTTTTTAATAAATAGAATTAAATGTGTGTCGATCTAAAGAATTAAAAGTAAGTTACTCTCTGCACTTGGAGCAACAAGCAGTTAACTTTCCATGGCGTTCAAAAAATATTACAGATTAACTAGTACAGGTATTGCCATTGATGACAACTGTGAAGCACTGTTTAAATTTTAAACAGGTTGACTCTTCAAGAATTAATCTAATCTGAGAACTAATCCAATGAGCGTTCATCACACTTCAAACCTTAACCCCTCCAACAAATTTCATGCCTTGTTCTGAAGACAAAGCTTCCATTTCTCCAGCACAATTTCCACAGCACTACAGCATCTCCATATGGAGGTTTTTGAAAGTATGCTAGCTATTGCATTGTTTGAAACTTAAGGAAAGAACAACAAGAATGTTTTCTTAATGTTTTTTTTAATTTACTTCAAAAAAAATAAAACAAGAGGTTAAAGTATCAACATTTTGAAAACATTAATATGCTTCAAGTTCATATTTCTGCCTTTACATTAACAGCACATGTATGAAAACTTTTCCTGAATGGTGTTCCATCCACGTTGCATGTACAATTTCATGAATCATAC